TTTGCCATTAAATATTTGATCAATAAAAAGATGCAAAGCCTAGGCTAATTCGATGGATATTATTACTACAAGAGTTCGATTTAGAGATGAAGGATAAAAATGGTACAGAAAATCAAGTGCCAAACCATTTATCCATATTAGATAATAAATCTGATTGTCAAGACATAATAGAAATTCAAGAGGATTTCCCTGATGACAAAATATTATTTGTCACGGCTGCGTCGTGGTATGTTGACATAGTTAACTTTCTTGTTAGTGGTATTGTTCCTCCTGACTTATCTAGCCAGGGCCGAAAAAAGTTTTGACATGATGTGCGACACTATTATTGGGATGAACCATTTTTATTCAAGCAATGTGGAGACCAAATAATCCGAAGATGCGATCTAGAAGAAGAGCATAAAGAAATTCAACTTCAATGTCACTCGTCACCATATGGAGGACATTTTAGTGGAATGAGAATAGAGGCGAAAGTACTTTAATCCAGATTCTATTTTCCAACCTTGTTCAAAGATGCACATAAAGTCTATAAGTCATGTGATAGATGCCAACGAACATGGTACATATCAAAACAACATGAGATGCCATGGTAAAATATTCTGGAGGTTGAACTTTTCGATATATGGGGAATCAACTTTATGGGACCTTTTCCCACATCCTTTAGAGATTTGTACATCCTCTTGGTAGTGGAATATGTATCCAAGTGGGTTGAAGCCATTGCAATACCTAAGAACGATTCCAAGATGGTGCTAAAAGTTTTGGACAAAACTATATTCACAAGTTTTGGAACACCTCGAGCTATCATTAGTGATGAAGGCACTCATTTTGATAACAAATTAATTGCCAAAGCATTGAAACGATATGGAGTGCAACATAGGATCGCTATGGCATACTACCCTTAGACTAATGGACAAGCAGAAGTGTCTAACCGAGAAATCAAACACATCCTAGAGAAGATAGTCAACCCAAGTCGAAAAGACTGGTTACCAAAGCTAGATAAAGCACTATGGGCTTATCACACAACATTCAAGACACCGCTGGGAATGTTCCCGTTCAAACTAGTCTACGGAAAAGAATGACATCTGCATGTGGAATTTGAACGTAAAGCCTACTGGGCCATCAAAAAGTTAAACATGGATGCTCAACTTATTGGAGAAACAAGACTCTTAGAACTGAACGAGATGGATGAATTCAAAGCACACGCATATGAAAATGCCCGCCTATACAAAGAGAAACCAAAACGATGGCATGACAGAAAAATATTGTCTAGGCAATATTCTGGACAACAAGTACTACTCTAAAGTTCACGTCTTAAGTTATTCCCAGGCAAACTAAAGTCACGATGGTTCGGATCGTTCATCGTACATCAAGTTCATAATAATGGGGCAATAGAAATCAAGAACCAAGATGTTGGTTCCATTTTCAAGGTGAATGGGCAGAGGCTAAAGGAATACAAATGAGCCCCAGTCATGCGAGATAAATCGGCATCAATGGCACATGATGCACAAGAGTTTGCCTTACTTGAACAAATTTTCGTTGCCTAGGCAACGAAAATTTTAATTTTGTACATAAATAAATTAAGTTATTTAATGCACACATTATCTGTTTTGCTTTGTTTTATATTTTTTTATTTATTACAGGCATGCAACGTACACGTGGTATCATGGGGAGATAATTCATGCATGAAAAAAGAGAAAAACCTAGGGTAAGAGATTTGGGCGGTAGAATTAAGGAGGGAAAGTAATCTTTTTCCCAACTTTACGACCAATAAAGGATATTGCATTCAATGCAAAAATCCTATCCCTTCGTGTTTTGACCAATTTACCCCAAAAAAATAACCCATTACTTTCTAGAAAAAATCACCCAACTTTATCTTCATCATCGTTCCTTACTCTCTCTCTTTTCAGCAAGAAATTTCTATTTTCTTTCAATAAAATTTCCCCCATGCCGTAGCTGAACTCACTGCTCCAAACAAATATCATGTACATATCAAAGAACAACCCAGCCCCAACACCGAGCTTTCAGCGTTTCCAAATAGCCGAAGACGAAGCACACATCAAAATCATTTGAAAATGACAAGTGTATTTGGAAGAAAGATTCATCTTTCTATCATAGGATGAAGAGCCATTTGGACCGAAAATCATGGACGTGATTAGGAAACACAACTGGGAGAAGTTTACTCGCCACCCCAAAGTCGTACCACCAACTATGGTCAGGGAGTTCTACGCCCATCTCGAAGACCCATCCAATCACACGGTGTATGTCCGAGGGAAGCTCCTTTGATTTTCCCCTTCAACACTCAATAGATACTTTAAGTTGGGGAAAGTGGAGGAGCAGTATAAGAAGTTTGTGGCTGAGATAGACCATGAAATATACAACTGAGATCTTGAAGATCTTTGCTTCGGATGGGTAAAGTTCAAAGGGAATGCTCCAACGTGGAAGAGAGTTCCGTCGTAAAACTGTGGAAACATTTTCTTAAGGGTAAGCTTATGCCAACATCTCACAACACAACTATGCCCGTAAAAAGATTGATGCTCTTACACTCGATAATCTACGGGAGAAAGATTGATGTTTGAGAACTTATCTTCGAACAAATCCATGAGTGCGCCAAAAGAAATCGGGGTAATCTATTGTTCCCTAACTTGATAACTGCTCTATATAAGAAAAAGAAAGTCCCTGAGGAGCTCTTTGAGGATTTCATTAAATCCAAGGAGGGTATCACCAAGAAGAAAGTACCCGAGCTGATGAGTTTTGATGACAACGCATTGCATGAAGGTCTAGAGAGGGGAGCAAAATCTGTTGCCATGGCCAGAATGGCAGCAGTGGTTACGTACACGCGAGAAACACGTGAGAAGATAGGGAACCTTAAAGATCACATGGAGATCTTCTTTGAGTATGTCAAGGCACGGGATGAACAACTAAATGCCTTTTTCAAGGAATTACCCCCGATCACAACTGACAACCTACCGCCATTCCCCATCGTCATTCTCAAATACACTGCTAGTGGCAGCACATTCCATGCCTCGACATCGAATGTCCCACCAGAAGTACCCACAGACGTGCCACCACTGGCCATCCATGTCTCGCCTGTACCAGAGGAAGGTCATTGTGACACAGAAGAGTTACTCAGTTCCTCATCCTTCTCCACCTCCGGAAGGACTCAAGAGACCCTACCCAACTTATTCTCCGATGAAGATTTCACCCCAGCCTCAAAACAACCCGAGCGAGGTCCCATACAGTCCCCTGTTAGTAAAGCAACGCCAGTCTATAAAGCAGCACAAAGTATAGGACATGTTCATACACAACCGACTCCTACTGCCGAGCAACCAACTCCAGCACAAGCCTTAACCAGCAAGAAGCGCATCAATCGAACGGCAGGCCATATCGTTCAACTGTCACCCTCGACGATAGTAGCAGTAGACTCGGGATCAGAGAGTCCCTCTCCTCCCAAACGACGCTGAACGAGAGCTTCCAATCAAGCCACACCACCATAGTAAGTTTTCATTTTAATTTTTTAATTTTCACATTTGCATATAGATTCATGTAGTTTTAATTCTCATGCATTAAGGACAATGCATCCCTCAAGTTTGGGGGAGGCATTGTGCCATATTTTGCCATACTTTGTTAAGAAGCAATTTATGATATTTGGTTGAAAATTTTGGTTGTCATGACATAAACATGTTAGGTTTATTGTTTGGAATGGATTAGGGATACCCAATGATGAACGCATAATTTGATTGCCTAGCCTAGAATTATTGCTAAGACTGTCTAAAAAATAGAACCAACCTTAGGCCTGATTCTTTGAAATTTACAAACACGATTGTAAGTTGTCCCTGCTTAAGGTAATGAGTAAAATTTTTAGGAAAAAACTTTCTCCTTGCCGAGACATTGAAAATATTTTAAGGTTAAGGTGAAACTCCCTAGTGTTTAAAACTTGAAAAATAAAAGGGACACTCCTCTATGCAAGGGTATAAACAGAAAAACTCCATAACAAATTAAGAGTTGTTGAGGCATATGAGTAAATAAAAGTAGTAACAGGATGACTCTACCCGACTAGCTTGGGGGTGGAAGGTATGCTCCCTTTCACCTAGAGTGTGGGATGGTAGGTGTGATGAGCTGACTCCAAAAAAAATTGATAAATAACTAGTTGTATAAACTAAGCCTGACAAATAATTTGATGTCTTGACAATCCAGAATCACTTACTTTAAGTTTTCTAGTTACCTTAATGCATATACCAATTATAATCACGCATACACAATAACAAGGAATCCTGACTAGGGAAGGGACTTGACTGATATGACTGTCGAACATGTTGATGCAGTTATTTTTGCTGAGGACTGAAATCTCAAACCATATGATTTTCTTAACAATGTTTTTTCATGGCAATTTTAATTTTCTTCTAGTTATTGTACATTGCTTGAGGACAAGCAATAGCTTAAGTTTGGGGGTGTGATAACTCCATAAAAAGACTCAATTTCTAGTCTTTTCACTTAAGTTATTGCTCGTTTAAACAAAGTATGCACAACATTTTAGTTGCATTTAGTCACATTTAGGTTATATTTGCTTGTGGTGGATAAGTTTTGCTTCGGCAAGATTTATTTGGTTTAACTGATGATGCTAAGGAGAAAGGGTTTGTGTGGATTGTGTCTGTGCAGGAAACTTACAGAGGAATAACATTTCAGTCGCGACAACATAACTTGCAAGGGCCAATGGAACAGAGGAGAACGTGATGAGTAGATTTATCTCACCAGGGCAAGGTTTATATGCAAAAATCTGAAGCGGATATGATGAAATCGCCTATGTCACATCCAGCTGGATGACCTTCTTTACAAGTAAGCAAGCCGTAAAGATTCTTACAGCCACCAGCCATCTTTCCTTTTTTTATCTAGACGAATAATAACGGTTATTTAAGGAATCTCTAATCATGCAAAAACCCTAGGAAATTCTTCTCTATAAATATTCAAACGTAGCCGCCAAAGAGAAAGGCAATGAAGAAGATAGAGAAGAGCTTTGCTGAAGGTGTGAGTGAGCAACTATAGTGCTTTACCACCATTTACCAACCTACTTTCCTTGGTGTCCTCCATAGCCAGACTGTAGCAGAGCAGTGGTCTGGTCTTAAGAGAGACTGATCACCAAGGCAGGAGCGGTGCTGATCAAAATTGTCACGATAGAGCCCCCGATTTTTGGAGTCGTTCTTCCTTTATTCTTGAATTCTTTACATGTTTGGAGTTGTATGAAATGATGCTACTTGGATGACTTTTGATAGAACCATGACTATCTTACTTGGTGTTAATCTTTGTTTTGCCTAGACAATTATTTTATGTTTTATGAATGATGAATTATGATTTTGCTCATGATTGTTTTGTTCATTGTTTTAATATTTTACCTTGACACTGTAAGAGCATCGAGAGATTGTCTGTGGTTTTGGTAAAACATGTCTTGGCAATGTAAGAGTATCGAGAGATCTCCTTTTTTCTAGATAGTGATTCTTAGATTCGAGAGAATTAAGATAGATCTATATGAAGAATGGAATGGATCCAGGATGGTGAAGTTCTAACTTGTCTACCTTAGAGATAAAGAGCGGGTTTCGATCGACTAAAAGCGGTAGACACTAGATTAGGATATATAACGACTATAGTTCACGCTGAGAGGTGTTGCTACAACAATACTCTGACAAACCAAGAGTTGTAGTTAACGCTGAGTAGTATTGTCATAACAACCTTCTAAGAATACATAGTAATCCTGTCGGGCAGCTTAAGCAAGTCATAATAATTCATTCTAGACTTAGGATAATTGTTTTCAATACAAAAGATTAGCATAAGTACTCAGTGGTAAGTCTAAATATGTGAGGTTGTTTACATTATATGTAAATCAACACTTGTCATTATTTTGTTTATTTGAATAGTCTGCACATTTATTTTTTCTTGACCAAATTTTTCTGAAATCATACATTATAGTATTTTCTTGTTTTATTAATATTAGTTTAATTTGACAAGAGAGTAGGAATTAGCTTGTGACAACTAGCACTAGTTGTGGTGAAGATTAAAATTGTAGACCAATCCCTGAGGAGAGGATAACTTACTTACCCTATATTACTTGATTCGATTGTGTATACTTGCACATAATTGCTTGCCTTAGCATATACATTTACAAGCGATCATTCATGCAGTGATTAACACTTAATCTAGTTAATTTAACTTTCATTAAAGTCATAGATCACCAGTTAACAAGCATAACATTAGTCTTATATTTCTATATACGAAATTGTTTAGTCTCATAAAACACCAATGTTGTGACAATAACAACATGCAATCATAATTATTTTATCTCTAAAAAATAAGATCAATATACAATAAGATTCAATTATCTCTAATAAAACATCTACTAAGAACGCAACTAATAGAATATAGTTTAAAGAAAAAATCATTCTTTTAGCATTTAACTGAACACATTATGTTCAGTACCAAATAAAAATAGTAAAATTAAATATCGAACTTCACAATAGTGTTTGTCCCGTCTCAAGTCAAATACACAAAAGAACAGTTGAACCCTAATCGGATACTATTATTGCACGACTGTTCCAAAGCTGCTGGTGCACTCCCCGATGAAAGGATTAGGTTACCATCGTAGAGAAAGTATGGAGAAAAAATATTAGAAATAAAGAAATTGATGATCCAATAGTGAGAGAAACAATTATATTTATAGATTGATGAAATAGACCCTCAACGAATGATTTTACTCCACATTTCAGGTGGTTTCAGATCCCTTGACAGTTATCCTCTTCCAGCTATGCATTCAAGAAGGTTCTCCATTCATCACCTTATGAGTCACCGGATACTGCAAAATCATCTCAGTAATCTATCACATCATCGTAATACAACTTCACTTGTAGCTTCAATCAATGCCCTAGCATCAACGTACACAATTTTAACATAAAAATTAAACCAATATCCACCAACTTAGTCTCATGATGCAAATGATAAAAAAATATGTAAAAATTATCATAAAATTCTCCTACTAATGCTATCTTTCAAGCTCAACCTAGGTAAAAAGACTTCTAAATGATAACTCTTTTAGAGAGTTATCAATAAGTAGTAGGTACACGCATGATCTTAATAAAATGTTACCTACTTAAGGTTTAATTGTTTTATCGTTAAAGTAGGGATCTCATGTTTCCCCATAATCCTCTGCAGAGGGCCTCTCTATGAGTAAACCTTTAAAGGGTATCTATCCATAATGATTGTAACCGCTATGCATTATCTGAATGCGACCCTGACTCTATTGTGCATTATCTAAATATTACACTGACACCTTTTTGCTTTATCTAAATACAACACTGACCCTGATGTGCATTATCTTAATATAACACTAACATTGTTGTGCATTATCTGAATGCAACACTAACATTGTTGTGTATTATCTGAATGCAACACACAACTAGTATCTGGTCTCACATAGCCATCAGACACTAGTTAACTGAGGGAACATGGTGCCACAAAGCATCAGTAAAATTACCACTAAGCTACTGAATGATCACCTAGCCTTACATAACAACTAGGTAGATCATAGAAGGGGAACCCGATTCCACATAGCATCTGCACAATTCCCGCTCAACTAAAGCATTGGCTTCATCTCATACACCCATCAAGCCAAGCTTTAAGGATATATTTTGTATTGGACTGATGCAATTACACATGACTGAGGGCTCAAGACCACAAAAAGCTAATAATGCTCGATGATAGAAACTGAGGTAGCCTAGCTACACACCACTAACAATGTCCCACTAGGGCAATTAAGGTAGCCTTGTTACACACGAGCATAACTTGGCATGCTAAGGTAAGGTCATCCTCTTTACTAGATTCTATCTTGTCTGCCTCTCATCTAGAACATCATGCTAGAGTTTATTAGTATGTTATATATGTTAGTTTGTTAAGCTGCTCTATGCTGGACATTTAACACTAAAGGGTACTTTAGTCATTTATGTCTCTAAGGGGACCTCTATGTGTTTATGATTTTACCATGACTACTGATTTAGCTATTAACTTTTTGTATTATTTACTAGCCCAATACCTGGCTCGGGTTCATTACTTGGTAGCGATACTCCCTCAATTCACCCTCGAAATGGAAGGATAATTGTATACCCATGATTCGTTGACATTATCGTTGTACACGATTATGCTATTTCGTTATCTAAATAATTTGTCATACGACTTACTGGTACATCCTCTACAACAATCCTTCATTCTGAGTTACTCGCTATGTGCTCGACTAAAAATACTTGGAAGTATTACTTCTACTATGGTTACTTCGGTTATATGCCACTACTACAAGTTTTTTAGGGCCCTTTACCCATTTATGTCCCTCACGAGCTAAGTTCTACTATTACATATGATCCTTGACTTTTGCAGGCCTCAACGGAGTCAAATTTAACCATTTAAAATGGGTAGTATTGATACTCTACTTACAATAACGATACCCTAGGGTCAAGTATCAATACCCCATGAGTATCCATTAAAATGTCTTTTTGTTAGGAAATATGATGCTTTATCGATCAACCAAAAAAGTCCAAAAGAGGGTGAATTTGTCACATAAAAGAATTTGGGAGTATGAAAAGAAAGAATAGTAAAAATTGCACAGTGGTTCAACTTACTTAATGAAGTTTAAATCCACTAACTTAGCTCCACACTAAGGATTTTTAACAAGATTTTTAATTTTTAAAAATCAAAATCAATGATTTAGAAAAATACATCTTGATTTAAAATTTAAGCTTGAAAAAATAAAAAGAATTACTTTCACAAAACAATTCATCATGTTTAAAAATGTCAAAATGCTCACATTTCCATTGCTATGGTCATCAGGAACATACTTGTCCTTCAAAACATAGAAAACCTTTTAAAATTAGACAAGTATGGTTTCCCAAGGGGAAATGAGACTTTTGCACTAACATTCAAGGATCCAAAGCAATTTGGATACCAAAATCCAAATAAATGTCTTTTGTAGGTGTGTGGGAGCAATAGTATTAGACAAGTATTTATTCAAAGTTTTCAAAAAAATTAAAAGTCCATAAAACTTGAATTTGAACACAAAACAATTTTTTGGGCAAGCAATACAAATATTGTTCTTACAGTATTGATACAACATGAACAATATTGATATTATTCTCGTAGTAACGATACCCAAGGTAAGAGAAGTTTTGATACTCTCATGGGAGTACCAATATTGCCTATTGGTTTTAAATGTGTTCAGATTCTAGTTTGCAAAATTGGTATAGATACTCTAAGGAGTATCAATACTACTGTGTAGTAGTATCGATACCGTAAACCCTAGTCTTGATACTCCCAGTCCAACAGTAGAAAAATAGCTAGTTTTTATTAATGCAATATCGATACTCCAGGCTCAAATACCAATATTCCCTAGTCTGTGAAATTTTATTTTGCAGCAACGACTCTAAAGCATCCCGACTTGAGACTAATTCCAACATATAAAAACAAGTTGAAGACACTTGAAGAAGGTTACACAACACCTATCTAAGCATTGATCATCAAGAGAAAAGATTTCATTCTTTATTCTTTGTTTTCTCTTGTAAATAGTGTATTTTATTGAGCTTAGTTGTGCAAACACCTTCCTTTTAGAGGCTTCTTGTTTATATTCTTTTAATCCTTTTTGTAAAAAGGGTTTGGTTCTATTTTAGTCATTAAAAACTTGAGAGTTCTAAAAGGTTAATCTTGAGCCTAGAAAAAGAAACAACAAATTAGTGGATTTGCATTTTTCAAAATTTCATTTTGGTTTTCAAAATCCATTTTTGCTTTCAAAATAAAATCATTTAAACTTTAAATTTTGAAATTAATTACTTATATTTGGAATTCATGGTCTCAAATTCCAAATACAAATCATCATAGACATCTTGTAACTCTTTAAATGAATAAGAATTCAAATCTCAAGAGTTAGAAGTTACCTTGAATCTTCTTCGATGACTATAAGACAAAGGTTGGCAACTTCATCTTCATTATTGGAGTCTTATTCATCACTCCAAGCCACCAAAAATGCCTTCTTTTTACTTGATCCCTACTTTATTAAGAGAAGACATTCATATTTGACATGCCCTATTCTTTAGAACTCAAAGCACACCGGGGGACCTTTCCTCTTACTCAATTCATGCTTCACTTACTTTCCTTTGGAAGATATGAATCTTGTGAATCTTTCAAAGAACTTGGCCATCTCTTCAAATTTATCCACCTCTTCACTTGAGTCTTGATTACTCTCATTGGTGGATTTGAAAGTGAATCTCGCCTCCTTCTTTTTCTTGTTCTTGTTCTTATCTTCTTTTTTTTCCTTGTTCTTTTTGAGTTTCACCTCATGAGCGAGTAGAGAACCAACAAGCTAATCAAGGGTGTACAACTCCAAGTCCTTGGCTTCTTCGATGGTGGTTGCTCTGCCTTCCCAAGATATAGGCAATAAGGCAAGCATCTTTCTCCCTATTTCTTTATTCAACTAAACCTTCCCAAAATTCTTTAACTCATTGATGATTGAATTGAATCAATCGAACATTATATTTATGTCTTCATCGGGTTCATCTTGAAGTTCTCGTAGTTGAGAGTGAGAATGTCAATTTTGTACTTCTTCACTTGGCTTGTTACTTCATGAGTCACCTATAACTTATCCCAAATCTTCTTAGCATTAGAGCATGAAGCTACTCTATTGTATTTTTTCGAGCTAAGAGCACAAAAGAATATGTGCATGGATTTGGCATTGAGTTGGGAAATCTTCCTATCTTCACTTATCCATTTCGATCGATTCCTTAGAGGAACGGAAGAATCGTCGACTATAGCATCCCAAACCGAAAGGTCAATGGCTTGGATGAAAAACATCATCCTATTTTTCAATATAAATAATTTGTTCCCTTGAAACTAGGGAGGCCTATGGATGGAGTGTGAGTCATCAAGGTAGTACCCGTCGGATGTAGAAGTCATATTCTCAGTTGCATCGAGAATTGATAGAAAGCTCCACGGATCTTCACAAGGTTGTTAGATTGTTGATTTGTAACTCGTTCTAATACCAATTGTTAGGTAATATGATGATCTATCGATCAACCAAAAAAGTACCAAGAGATGGTGAATTGGCCAAATAAAAAAATTTGGGAGTATGGAGAGAAAGGATATGAAAAATTGCACAATGATTTATAGTGGTTCAACTTCCTTAATGAAGTTTACATCCATTACCTTAGCTTCACATTAAACATTTCTAACAAATTCATTAATTTTTATTTTTTTTTCTATGCTCAAGAGTAACCTTTTACAACTCCCTAATTTTCAATGGCTAAACTAGAACCTAACCCCTTTTACAAAAGATAAAAAGAATGTAAACAAGAAATCTCTCAAATGAAGGTGTTTACACAATTAAGCTCACTATAACACATTATTTACAAGAGAAAACAAAGAATAAAGAATAAAAACTTTTATCTTGATAATCAATGTTTGGATAGGTGTTGTGTAACCTTCTTCAAGTGTCCTCAACTTGTATTTATATATTGGAATGAGTTTCTAGCTATTTTTAGTCATTGGAGATATTTTGGAGTCGTTGGGTACTTAACTGCTACAAAATGAAACTGCCCAGACTAGGGAGTATATGTACTATGGCTTGGAGTACCGATATTGCACTAATAAAAACTAGACGTTTTTTAACCATTAGGATGGGAGTATCGATACTAGGGTTTACAGTATCAATAATACTATACAGTAGTATTAATAAATGTTTTATTTGGTTAATATTTTATTATTAATTAATCCATGTTATCTCTTTTATATTGCTATTTTGGTTTTTTTACGTTAGATTCTATGCAGGACTCCTCTTCTCAGAAGAAGAAAAAAAATAATTAAATAATGAATTAAAGAAAATTTATTCTATTTCTAGGAATAGTTTACGCCAACTTAGATTGAAAGACCAAGTTAGATGCCAACGCTATTTAAATAATCTAATCAACAAGATCAAAGGAGAAAAGCAAGGCAAACCATTATTCTTTAAGATTTAAAAGATGTAATTAACTCAAACACTTTAGATTTTATTATTTTATTTATATTTTATTATTTTTATTAGAAATTTTAGTTTACTATCAATTAAGTATTTTAATGTAATTAACAGTTAGTATTCTATTTTCATTATGTTATCTCAAAGTTATAAATACCCACTAGGGGAGAAGCTTCGGAGGTATACAAGTTCAGAATTCAATATAGAAGTAATTTTGGCTTTTAGGTTTTTAGTTCAATAAAATTATTTTCTTTTTCATCTTTTCTCTCTTCCATACGCCAAGTATGAATTCTATCATACTTGGTTAAACTTTTCCTTAGCCGATAGATGAGTACGATTCAATCCAATCTCATGAAAATTGAAAAAGCGCTTCATATCTTCATATTCTTTCTTAATTTTTGACAGACAAGAGGAGACAATCGACCTTTTCTTTAAACATCTCAATACCTTAAATCCAAAGAGTGAAGGTTGGTTTGATCGAAGTTGTGATCTATAGATGGGGAGGAGAGTCGGCATGTAGCAAATTCAATTCCCTAAGAACAAGCGTAGTGGAGGTCCATTGAGGGAAATCAAGATCGGGTTTGATTCTTATCGAGACACCATAATCTGAGCACATACTTTTCCACTACTAAAGAAAGAATTGGCGTTAACATCAATAGTCTTTGTTAATACAAACAAGGATTAAATTTCAAAGATTATCTTTGGGAATTAATTCACCTAATAAAAGAGTAAATTACAAGGCTTATGCCTTGTAGACTGTAACCGGCAAGAATATGCAGTGATTGAGAAAGATTGAGGCAGAGCAAAGCTGGAGGATTTCTCTCATCATAATTAATTTTTCTACAAGTACATACATAGATAACGTGTTAAAAAGGTTTAGCATGGAAGAATCTAAGAAAAGGTTTCTGTGTATGAGACATGGTATATCTCTCTCGAAGAAAATGTGTCCTTCAACTCAATAAGAGAGAGAATGAATGAATAAGATCGCATATGCTTCGGCTATTGGTTCTATCATGTATGTCATGGTATGTACTTGACCAGATGTATCATATGCTTTAAGCATGATGAGTCGGTATCAGGTAAATCATGGTTAATGTCAGTGGGTTAAAGTTAAAAATATGCTTAAGTACTTAAGAAGAACTAATAATACATTTCTTGTTTATAGAGTCAAAAAAGAGCTTAGTGTAAAAGATTATACTGACTCCAACTTCCAAACTTACAAGGATGACTCACGATTGCAATTGGTTTATGTGTTTTGTCTTAATGAAAGTGCTATGAGCTAGAAGATTTCAAAGTAAGACACAGTAGATAATTCTATAATAGAGATTGAATATATTACAACCAACAACAAAAGAGGTTGTTTGGATCAAGAAGTTCATATCTGAATTAGGGGTTGTTCCTAGCATATTGAATTCTATAGAAATCCGTTGTTACAACAATGGAACCATTGCACAAGCACAGGAATCCATATCTCATCAACGGTCCAAACATATTCTTAGGTGCTTCCATCTCATTTGAGAGATCATAGATCGAGGAGATATGGATATATGAGTACACATGGATGAAAACATTGTTGATCCCTTGACGAAGCCTCTGGCACAACAGAAGCATGATTGTTACACTAAATCACTCGGTATTAAATATATGAGTGATTGGTTAGTTCTAGTGGAGATTGTTAGAGTATGCCCAAAGACCAATCATAAGATGATTGTATTAACATATTTTCTTTACGATATTTATTAAATAAAGGCATTACTGTTATTTTCTTTTTTTTATATTTATGTGCATTAAATAAACAAAAAGTTAATAATGTCCATATAATAATATGATTATTATTAAAAGATTCCTAGTTAAGAATTATTATGGTCATGAACAATAATAATACACTTAAAACTAATATGTTATCGATTGATGACAATGAGTTGTCATTGACATAGAGATGTCAGAATTGAAACATGAATATGTTGTTAGAGAACAATGTATTGGATTAACCCGCTATGAGCATATTTCTTGGATTATTATATGACGGTCACGATATTGGCCATGGTGACAACTATATGTATGATCCTTAGACTTGAGATTATTACTATCTCAACATATATTGTTTTATGTTTTAATATGGTTAAACGTACTTTGTAACTGGTTGCACTATAAAGACTGACATTAAACATATCACGATATATGTAGTGAGGTATGAATGATCAAGATAGTATTTTCCTTCCTACATAATAGGAAATATATCACAGGCCACTTAATTGAGTGAGACTAGAAATGATGGTCATGCTCGAATAAGTTGATATGAGATATCATAAATTATTCATTTGTTATAGTTTGCTCTAGATATTAAGAAATAATAGATGGGCTATACAAGTGTGATTATTCCAAGACTTGTACATATTCTAGATATAAAGAACAAAGGGATATAATACATTAAAAGAGTTAGTCAAGAACATGTTATGTCGAATCATGACTTCCTGTAACTTAGGAAACAATGATATATATTGCTAGATGTCACTCATTGTTTGTAATATTAGAATGGTTCTAATTATTATTACTAACGTTACAGGAACCCAGAGGGTCGGACTCAATGGTTGAAAAGAACAATTTATAAAATGTGTTACATATGTACAATTTTATTGTACATGAATAAAATGTGTAGATAATATATATATATATATATATATATATATATATATATATTTATATATATGTATGTATATGATTGTAATTTTAATTACATTTTAAATATTGAATTTAACTAAAAAAATATAATTAGGGTAATTATATTCCTTATTAAATTCATATTAAAACCCTAATAGCTAGGGTGTCACATATAAAAGGGATATGTTGGTCTAGCGGTCGTTTACCCTTCTAAAATTCTTAAATTCCTCAAAATTATTTTGAGAAAGAATTTTCTCTCAATTGATTTTCAATCGAGTGAACTAAGTAGAGGCCATGACGATTTTTTCGTGGAGGCTAGGATTCAAATCGTTCTTGAGATCGTGAGTCATTGATGTATTGTCGCTATTCAAGGAACCCAATGTGAGAAATCGTGTTATGTCAACCTACTTTTTCTTAATCAAAAGTAGACATCCATGCACATCATTTTATGTCAACCTACTTTTGCTAAGTAGGTCATGTTCCATGCGGCAATTTTTCCTTTTAATTTAAGTATTTTTTTTCCTTCATTTTATCTTCAAATGAATCATTCAATTTTATATTTTAATCACTAATTATAGAATTTAGAGAGACGACTTTTAAAATTATGGCCACTCACTAGCGTCTTCTTTGTCAATACTCAAGTTGTATTTGCTAAAATTCTCCTTAAACTTGTATATTCAAAGTGGAAGATTTTGAGAGTCGGGGATGAAAGAGATAAAATTTGGGAAATTGGAAAGAAAATTCTTCAAGCCATCGCAGCTACCATGATCTTCCCAAATTCTTAATAATCTATTAATCAAAGGTTGTAGGCCATGGGGTGTGCCGACGGTCCCAACGAGCGCGTCACCATGAGTACACCTTTAATAGATCTCTAAACAATGATTGCAACTACTATGCATTATCTGAATGCGACCCTGACACTGTTTAGCATTATATGCATGCAACACTGACATTGTTGTGCATTATTTAAATATTACACACTACATGTATCTGGTCTCACATAGCCATTAGACACTAGTTAATTAAGGGAACCTAGGGTCATAAAGCATCAATAAAATTCCCACTAAGTTGTTAAATGATCTCCTGGTCTTACATAGCAATCAGGCAAATCATAGAGGGGAACCTAGTTTCACATAGTATCGGCACAATTCACGTTCAACTGAAGCATTGACTCGATCTCACACAGTCATCAAGCCAATCTTTAAGAATATTTATTTTATTGTGTTGATCCAACTATACATGACTGAGGGCTCAAGGCCACAAAACACTAATAATACTTGACGAGGACAATTGAGGTAGCCTAGCTACACACCACTAATAATGCCACACTTGGGCAACTGAGATAGCCTTGCCACACACTAAAATAGCTCAGTATACTAAGGTAAGTTATTCCCCTTTACTAGTTGTTATCTCATTCATCCCCTCATCTAGAACATTATGAAAGGGTTTATTAGTATGTTATATTTGTTAGTTTGTTAAGTTGCTCTATTTTAGACATTTAACACTGAATGACATTTTATTCATTTTTTGTCTCTAATGAGATCTCTATATGTTTCAAGATTTTACAATGATTATTGATTCTGCTATTCAATTTTTGTCTTATTCATTATCCCAATACCAGACTCAGGTTCATTACTTGGTTGCAATACTCTAGTTGCTCTTACCACACTTTCCCTCAATTTACCCTCAAATTGGAGGGTCCACGATAAGCCCACGATTCGCTAACATTCTTGTAGTACATGGTTCCTCTATTTCATAATCTAATTAATATGTCATATCGCTTGATGGTACATCCTTTGCAATGATCCTTCATTCTTAATTACTCGCTATGTGCTTGATTGAAGATACTTGGACATATTATGCCTACTATGGTTACTTCAGTTGTACCCTACTCCTACTAGTGTTTCTTGGCCCCTTTGACCATTTATGTCTCTCACGGGCTAAGTTTTACCATTATGAATCATCCTTGACTCTTAAAACCTTAACAGAGTCGAATTTAACCATTGAAAATGGGTATTATCGATACTCTACTTGCAGTATCGATACTCTAGGGTCAAATATCAATATCCTCATGAGTATCGGTACCCAAAATGGCTTTTGTTTGCTTAAAATTGGCCCAGTATCGATAGCAGGTACCCTCAGTATCGATATTGTAGGGGCATCATCGATACTATCCCCCTCAGTATCGATACTCCCAACTAGAAATGCCTAGATTTCATTCCAGTTCATCCAATATCCATATAGTTCATCCAATATCCATATTATTCATCTAGTATCAATACTTGAACCCGAAATGTATTGTTTAAGCTCAGGAAACACCCAAAATCATACCAAAGGTCTTAGTTTGGTTCCTAATAATGTGCTAAAGCTTTAGGAAGTTACTTAGGGTCATAAATTGTCATAAAAAAAGATTTTACATAAAAACATCATATAATCATGAAATCAAGAATAAACCCAAAAATGCTCAAATACTCAAATCTTAACAATTCATCATGCTTATGAAAGCCTTAACACCGCAATGAATTAGGAACACACCAACTTGATGTTAGAAACTTGAAAATAAGCTCATTTCTCAACAAGCTTTGCTTCTTTCCACTCTTATTGAACAAATATGATTTACACCCCCTTTTTCTAGCCAAAAAGGAAAGTTAAGAGATTCTAATCATAAAGGATGTTGCTAGAGGGATTATGGACAAATTATAAAGATCGAACGACTCTGTAACACCCCAAACCGATGCGGGTAGCCCGATCCGATTCGGGAAGTCACATTAGGGCCACCGGAGCGACCCACCGTAAAAATAGCGGAAATTTTAAAACTTTTTATCAGAACATGTAAACTTATAAAATCATTTATCACTATTTAAAAATAAAACAGATTTCCAAACTCGTATATAAATAAAAATACAATTACATGCCCCCTAATCACAAGTACCATACTCTGCAACCATGCCGGAAGAACTCCCTTACTGAAGTCGATAGATACACTGGTACAATTGTTTTAACCTGAAAAGGTGAGTAATAGAGTGAGCTTTGGAAAGCTTAGTAATACAGAACTACCAGATGATGCTACATGACATGTAGATAAATGGAAAACCATATAATTTCCTTATTGAATCATACGTATACCAGCTTGCAGAATAATTTGGGGTTCCATTAAAAGTTCATCGAGTAGAAGCCATGAATCTCAGTTCATAAGAAACCTTTCAAAGTATGACATTTTTAGGAGATCGAATAGGATGTCTAGTGTGTTCCAACAGTATAATAAAATCATAATAGGTACAAATCATAGTCCAGTAAATCTCACAATTTCGTAAAAGAGTTTAACTTTTGAAAATCATAGTTTAAACCCTTTTCTGGTACACCATCAGTAGTTCCCAAAAATTATTTTCCATATAGCTTACTTTATGCACATAGCAAAAAGAAAGCCGACTTAAGGATAGGCTATGAAGCTTGTATCCTTAAGCCCAAGTCAATAAGTCCATATAGCTTACCCTAAGCACACAACAAAGGAAAGCCGACCTAATGAAACATCTTGGGGCCCTCAAGAGTCACATTAGGCCCAGTTAGCTTGATCAGAGCTATTCCATCGTAATTCAATTCCAAAAATTCAATTGCACCGTGACATAAATTTCATAAATCCAAAAACATGGTAATCATATACCATTTCAAAACAAAAATTAGATAGCAGCCATATTCCATAAATTGTCACATTAAATTGGTGCATCCATAAAACAATAACCAATGAATTCGGTGTACCACATATTAAAACCAATAAAACAGTTCAGTAATAAGTAGGGAACACACTAGAGAATCCAAGTATTTCCAGAGGCCATTGTAGTTATCATTTTGGATAACATGAAACTTATGAAATTTGAACGAATTCCTGGAACAAGGTTCTATTGAGGAGAATTGATTACTAACCGATCTAGCCAGACATTTAATGTTGATACATTAGAATCCCATATTTTCGTGTGCTTTAGGAAAACGTTCAGGAACCTTTATACATAATAATTCTAAATTCAGATTTACTGCGAGTGATTCCATTACCCAAACAATCAGGGGTATTCAGGAATATACTTTAAATTCATAGGATTTCAGCCCAATTGAACCAAATGAGATATTCAGAATCTTTTCCATCTGCGTTACTTGTTTTTTTTTCAAATATGACCAAAGTGATTTTAGATGAAATATAGAATCGAAGATTCAAGTCATTTACAATCTTCGACTATCGATCATATTATCAAACAACTCGAGTTACACAACTCTCAAACTGATGCATGTCAACAAGTCAATTCATTATCCTTCCAGTGTATTCACTCTTTAATACCATAGTGCAGATCCATAGATCGTCCCCATAATCATCACTGAATAAATCTTCCAACGGTCTTTATTTCATTTCCACGTTTCAACAATATCAGGAAATACTGACGTACTTGATCCATGGATCATAACCCATAATGACAATCCATCATGTAAGTTCAACAGTGTTTCCAAACTCATCAAATCACCTATTTAATCCTTAGTCATTGATGTTACTTAGTTCGTTTGGTAAGCAAGTCTATCCCGATTACTTTAAAGTTTCCAGAATAATTCAGACGTTTCTGAATTTCAAATACACGTTGTACTTTATTTCATTTCAATTTATTCATATAATAAAGTCATTCTGGTATTCGTGTTGTTTTGACTAACGACTACCCACTTATTAGTACTGTATGCGCTCTAGAGTTGAGCTGCGCCAAGTACTTCCAGAATTATCATCGATCCAAATTTGAGAAGATGAACAAACATTCAAGTGATACTTATATCATTCAGGTAATGATATAGTACTAACGTTGGTTAATCACTTAAGTTGCGTTCCACAACTTTTACTGGTAGCACAACATCCATGTTTATTTGGATTTCTTAATTAATCCAAGACATTTACTTATTCTAGGTCATAAGGGCATTTTGGTCATTTTGGTGCTTAACATTTTTTTCTATTCATTTCAAAGCTTGAGTATATCCATTCATTCCTGAGCTTGGTGACATTCTTGAGTCATTTCCATTCCAGGGGTAATTTGGTCATTTTATAATTCTAGAATATTTCAATCATTTCCTTCCATCCGGTCTTATTATTTAATTCAATCCTATCATTTACTTCAGTCCTTTCGAACAATTCTGTCAGCAGAATACCTCCGATAAATTACTCTTCAAGTATTTACTCCTTATTCGAATATTTTCGGGTCAAGTGTCTTCTCAGATTTTACAAACGGAATATTATAAATTTTTCTGTACAAAGACAGGATCTTAACAATTAAATTCGTACTTAATCGAGTTAAGTACAAATCCTCAAAGTACTCTCTCATTCAGGGTCAATTCAGACTATTTTATCTCTCAAGGGCATTTTCATAATTTCTTAACCAGATAAATTTCAATATTAGCTCTTAACGAAAATAATTATAATTTAGAGATCCTATGATCAATTGCTTTCCCGAACATTCTTTGATTTTGAAATGATTCCTTCACAAACTCTCATAGGATTAAAACCGGTTATTCATAATTTCCAAATAAAACTAACATTTCTTATGCACATCAGTAGTTATATCGGATCAATATGTCTTTTCAGAGTTATTAACCAACTTCCTGTGGCAATTCTTATCATTTTCCAACATAAGGGTAATTTCGTAATTTTACCATATCGGAGTATTCTCATAAATTTTTCATCCAAGTATCTTTAACATTTAACCCTTGATGATATAAAATATAAGTTACAAATCCAGAGCTGATTTCTTTATCACCAATCACAAACTTGTAATTTAATTCTAACAATTATCAATCTCTTATCTTAGTCATTCGATCCGTATTCAGTTATAGAATTTCTACCACATTCATATCGAGTGAATAAATTATTCAACTCCACAAAAGTGACCAATATTATCTTATTCATGCATTTACCAATATCAACATGTTCCATAAAGCATAAAGAGGTAGTAAAGTATTACCTCGATTTTCCGTGCCATATCGATCGACCATTTAAATTCCATTTGAACACCCTCGATCTTTAATTTAACTTCCAATATTTTCCTCATGATCCAGGCCATCAAAATTATTAACTCGTATCCAAATAATTTACCTCGCCATAAAGATAGCTTATTAGCATTTAAATAATCATTTGGAAACCCAATTTGTATAATAGAATACTTGTGGGTTACTTTAATAATTAATCACTAAAATTAGAGACTGGACCAAAATAATTTACACTATTGGGCCGTAAACAAAAACTAATGAAAATTAGGAGACAAGGCCAAATTCTTACCATATGCTTCTTCGAAATTCCAAGCTGTAGGTGGAAATCAAATAAATTTGGCCCCACATTTGACATTGGAGATTGATAATGATTTGAATAGCCATGTGTTTGCAATGAATAAACAAAATGATAATGGAATGGTCTCCACGGCAAATGCAACAATTGAAAATGCATTGGACCCCACGACAATTTCAGCACCGAAAGTAATTGATAATTCATTGGCCCCCACGGCAATTGCAGGACCGAAAGTCACATTGGACTTTCCTTTGTTCGAGTGATTGCATCGTCCACCTCTTTTATCACTTCCTTCTCGATGTCCTTCAACTCTTTCTCAGAAGCTAGGTTATGGGATAATATCAACTTCCTAATTCTTTCAATTGGATCACGCTCATGCCTAACACCACTAATCTCATCACGTGTTATATAGGTACTTCCAAGATCAAACATGGAGCGACCATGATACCTACAAGTGTATGTCCATTTCAAGAATTATTGGTCCACTCTTCAAGGCATGTTCTTTAGCAAACTTGCAAGCTTGCTTCACAGCGAGGGCATACATACCATCCACCTTCAAACCATGAACAAAATCCACACGTTTGTAATACGCTGGACTCTTCGCGGCTTTCCACTCGACTGGCCCCTTTAGCTTTGAAACGGAAACTTCCAGCAGGGTGTTACCACGGCCCATGAATGTGCAGTGATCACAATAGGTGGTTAAAACATAAGGTATCCATAAACAATTATCAAAAACAAGTTCCCAAGGGCCGTGGTGGTGTAGGTAAGAACCCATAGGTCTGTTCACACATTTACTTGGCTGAAACTAGAGGTTTGAATATGAGGTACGACGGATTTTTTTAAGGTGGATATTCGTCGGAAACAAGATCGGTCAGAGATGAACATCCTGCGATGAAACGTGCATTCGATGAAGAAGAAGAGAGACATGGAGGAGGAGGAAGAAGAAGAGAGATATGGAGGAGGAAGATGAGAAGGAGCAATAAACGTTGTGGAGCCATTTTCTTTCTTTTGTCAACTAATTAAGCTGTGAATCAACAAGTAGGAAATAAAATAAAATTTCCTCTAAGCTGGAAAACGATAGATTCAATGGTGGCAATGCATTATCCTTAATTTATTCTCATCTCACCCAACAATTTGTCCACTTCTACCTACTCTATCATCCTCATTCATAATTTTTTTTAATTAATTTACCCCATAATTGGGGTGTGACAATTCTCCCCTCCTTAAAAGAATTTCGTCCTCGAAATTCATTCATGTCGCATAATTGCATAAATGAAACTTCCAACAGTTCTTTCATATCTTTAAGTAGCTTTTACAAAAGTACGGATCCTCCACAAATTCTTAACAAGTTGAGTATACCTTCTTTTCAAAACTCTCTCTCATTCCAATAAAAGAATCCGAACGAAAATTTCTTTGAGTAATCAATTCAGTCTTTGTCATGAGAATAGGCTCATAGAGCAGTAGCATAGCCAAATTTCATTTCCGGAGTCGATTCAAAATTTCTCAGGTAATTAACTTTCACATGGCTCGTGAGGTACTTTGCGTCATTTAGACATATGTTACTGGTATTCCTTTTTGTACAAGTATAGCCTTAACGGATAGAAACTTCGGTTTACTCGATACAGATAGGGACTCAGCCCTGGAGTTCCGGCTCAGAGAGGTACGAATGCAGTCTAGGGATATGTACTGATCAGACATATTTTGGCATTCGACCGGCCGGTCTATCTTGAAAAATTTTGAATCAAACCATGGCTCTGATACCACTAAATGTAACACCCCAAACCGATGCGGGTAGCCCGATCCGATTCGGGAAGTCACATTAGGGCCACCGGAGCGACCCACCGTAAAAATAGCGGAAATTTTAAAACTTTTTATCAGAACATGTAAACTTATAAAATCATTTATCACTATTTAAAAATAAAACAGATTTCCAAACTCGTATATAAATCAAAATACAATTACATGCCCCCTAATCACAAGTACCATACTCTGCAACCATGCCGGAAGAACTCCCTTACTGAAGTCGATAGATACACTGGTACAATTGTTTTAACCTGAAAAGGTGAGTAATAGAGTGAGCTTTGGAAAGCTTAGTAATACAGAACTACCAGATGATGCTACATGACATGTAGATAAATGGAAAACCATATAATTTCCTTATTGAATCATACGTATACCAGCTTGCAGAATAATTTGGGGTTCCATTAAAAGTTCATCGAGTAGAAGCCATGAATCTCAGTTCATAAGAAACCTTTCAAAGTATGACATTTTTAGGAGATCGAATAGGATGTCTAGTGTGTTCCAACAGTATAATAAAATCATAATAGGTACAAATCATAGTCCAGTAAATCTCACAATTTCGTAAAAGAGTTTAACTTTTGAAAATCATAGTTTAAACCCTTTTCTGGTACACCATCAGTAGTTCCCAAAAATTATTTTCCATATAGCTTACTTTATGCACATAGCAAAAAGAAAGCCGACTTAAGGATAGGCTATGAAGCTTGTATCCTTAAGCCCAAGTCAATAAGTCCATATAGCTTACCCTAAGCACACAACAAAGGAAAGCCGACCTAATGAAACATCTTGGGGCCCTCAAGAGTCACATTAGGCCCAGTTAGCTTGATCAGAGCTATTCCATCGTAATTCAATTCCAAAAATTCAATTGCACCGTGACATAAATTTCATAAATCCAAAAACATGGTAATCATATACCATTTCAAAACAAAAATTAGATAGCAGCCATATTCCATAAATTGTCACATTAAATTGGTGCATCCATAAAACAATAACCAATGAATTCGGTGTACCACATATTAAAACCAATAAAACAGTTCAGTAATAAGTAGGGAACACACTAGAGAATCCAAGTATTTCCAGAGGCCATTGTAGTTATCATTTTGGATAACATGAAACTTATGAAATTTGAACGAATTCCTGGAACAAGGTTCTATTGAGGAGAATTGATTACTAACCGATCTAGCCAGACATTTAATGTTGATACATTAGAATCCCACTATATTTTCGTGTGCTTTAGGAAAACGTTCAGGAACCTTTATACATAATAATTCTAAATTCAGATTTACTGCGAGTGATTCCATTACCCAAACAATCAGGGGTATTCAGGAATATACTTTAAATTCATAGGATTTCAGCCCAATTGAACCAAATGAGATATTCAGAATCTTTTCCATCTGCGTTACTTGTTTTTTTTTCAAATATGACCAAAGTGATTTTAGATGAAATATAGAATCGAAGATTCAAGTCATTTACAATCTTCGACTATCGATCATATTATCAAACAACTCGAGTTACACAACTCTCAAACTGATGCATGTCAACAAGTCAATTCATTATCCTTCCAGTGTATTCACTCTTTAATACCATAGTGCAGATCCATAGATCGTCCCCATAATCATCACTGAATAAATCTTCCAACGGTCTTTATTTCATTTCCACGTTTCAACAATATCAGGAAATACTGACGTACTTGATCCATGGATCATAACCCATAATGACAATCCATCATGTAAGTTCAACAGTGTTTCCAAACTCATCAAATCACCTATTTAATCCTTAGTCATTGATGTTACTTAGTTCGTTTGGTAAGCAAGTCTATCCCGATTACTTTAAAGTTTCCAGAATAATTCAGACGTTTCTGAATTTCAAATACACGTTGTACTTTATTTCATTTCAATTTATTCATATAATAAAGTCATTCTGGTATTCGTGTTGTTTTGACTAACGACTACCCACTTATTAGTACTGTATGCGCTCTAGAGTTGAGCTGCGCCAAGTACTTCCAGAATTATCATCGATCCAAATTTGAGAAGATGAACAAACATTCAAGTGATACTTATATCATTCAGGTAATGATATAGTACTAACGTTGGTTAATCACTTAAGTTGCGTTCCACAACTTTTACTGGTAGCACAACATCCATGTTTATTTGGATTTCTTAATTAATCCAAGACATTTACTTATTCTAGGTCATAAGGGCATTTTGGTCATTTTGGTGCTTAACATTTTTTTCTATTCATTTCAAAGCTTGAGTATATCCATTCATTCCTGAGCTTGGTGACATTCTTGAGTCATTTCCATTCCAGGGGTAATTTGGTCATTTTATAATTCTAGAATATTTCAATCATTTCCTTCCATCCGGTCTTATTATTTAATTCAATCCTATCATTTACTTCAGTCCTTTCGAACAATTCTGTCAGCAGAATACCTCCGATAAATTACTCTTCAAGTATTTACTCCTTATTCGAATATTTTCGGGTCAAGTGTCTTCTCAGATTTTACAAACGGAATATTATAAATTTTTCTGTACAAAGACAGGATCTTAACAATTAAATTCGTACTTAATCGAGTTAAGTACAAATCCTCAAAGTACTCTCTCATTCAGGGTCAATTCAGACTATTTTATCTCTCAAGGGCATTTTCATAATTTCTTAACCAGATAAATTTCAATATTAGCTCTTAACGAAAATAATTATAATTTAGAGATCCTATGATCAATTGCTTTCCCGAACATTCTTTGATTTTGAAATGATTCCTTCACAAACTCTCATAGGATTAAAACCGGTTATTCATAATTTCCAAATAAAACTAACATTTCTTATGCACATCAGTAGTTATATCGGATCAATATGTCTTTTCAGAGTTATTAACCAACTTCCTGTGGCAATTCTTATCATTTTCCAACATAAGGGTAATTTCGTAATTTTACCATATCGGAGTATTCTCATAAATTTTTCATCCAAGTATCTTTAACATTTAACCCTTGATGATATAAAATATAAGTTACAAATCCAGAGCTGATTTCTTTATCACCAATCACAAACTTGTAATTTAATTCTAACAATTATCAATCTCTTATCTTAGTCATTCGATCCGTATTCAGTTATAGAATTTCTACCACATTCATATCGAGTGAATAAATTATTCAACTCCACAAAAGTGACCAATATTATCTTATTCATGCATTTACCAATATCAACATGTTCCATAAAGCATAAAGAGGTAGTAAAGTATTACCTCGATTTTCCGTGCCATATCGATCGACCATTTAAATTCCATTTGAACACCCTCGATCTTTAATTTAACTTCCAATATTTTCCTCATGATCCAGGCCATCAAAATTATTAACTCGTATCCAAATAATTTACCTCGCCATAAAGATAGCTTATTAGCATTTAAATAATCATTTGGAAACCCAATTTGTATAATAGAATACTTGTGGGTTACTTTAATAATTAATCACTAAAATTAGAGACTGGACCAAAATAATTTACACTATTGGGCCGTAAACAAAAACTAATGAAAATTAGGAGACAAGGCCAAATTCTTACCATATGCTTCTTCGAAATTCCAAGCTGTAGGTGGAAATCAAATAAATTTGGCCCCACATTTGACATTGGAGATTGATAATGATTTGAATAGCCATGTGTTTGCAATGAATAAACAAAATGATAATGGAATGGTCTCCACGGCAAATGCAACAATTGAAAATGCATTGGACCCCACGACAATTTCAGCACCGAAAGTAATTGATAATTCATTGGCCCCCACGGCAATTGCAGGACCGAAAGTCACATTGGACTTTCCTTTGTTCGAGTGATTGCATCGTCCACCTCTTTTATCACTTCCTTCT